AGGTGTGTTTGATATGGATAGCAACTGAAATCTGCAGTAAGGTAGATCTCCAGGAACAGGATTATATGAGGTGCCGTATAGGATTTAAATCAAACTTTGCTTATCAACACATACATAAAACACGTGTATATACACCTATTAATTACTCGCATATACACCTATACTGAATGTTCAAAGCAACATGGATGAAACTTGTGTATATACATATAAACTTGACGCATGAATACATCCACATACACACGCGCATACATATAAACTTGCTGCATGCAAACACACCTATACACACTCACATATACATATAAACTTGATCTATGCATATACACCCATAAACTCTCACATAAGAATATAAACTTGATGTGTGCATAAACACCCAAATGTTGTGCAAACATACAAAATAAAATTCACAAACATATATACAGTTGTGTATATACATATATGCAAGTGATTTCATATGTGTGTATGCATGAATTTTCACAGTAAAAGGAAGTTATTTCACTTTAAAAGGAAGTCGTTTAATTTCAACGTAAAAGTCCTTTGAGTGTAATGAACAAGATTATTATTTGTCATGAATCAGGTTATTGCAAACCTTAAGAAACAGAAATAATGCGATTAATAGAGGAATTACATCTGTTGAAATATGAAAATAGATTATGCTAATTCTAAAAAATAAATAAATAAAAAGGTAATGCAAAGGAATGCTCCTGCAAAATTAAAGGTTTATTATGCAATTAAATTATTGGAAATGTTATTATGGTTTAATAAATATAAAGTTGCTTAAGTAATCATTTTGAATAAAATATGTTTGTCTAATATTAGTTTTTTTTATGTTTGTTTTATTATTGGTGTCACTATTCGTCAAGGGGTATGATACACACTTATGTCCAGTAGGGGGCAGGAATGCACTTAAGTGGGTTTTCCTGTCACCAATACACAGGCTAATGCACCAAAATGCTGGATGCCAGCTGCTGTAAAAATAAAGTAGTACTTTTTAAACCCAAAAGGAGT